CAGTAATTTTAGCTTCATCCATCAGCGCCATAATCAACAATGTTTTAAAACATTTTATTAAATCAAGTTAAAAAACACAAAAATCAATAAAAGGCGATTTTTCACCATCCCTAATATGTGGGTTTTAGTAGGGTTTATATTTGTAAATTGAAACCCCAGATTCCCAGCATCATCCGATTTCCAGCATCATCCCTGACAATAAATATGCACTAATCCCGTTATCTAGTTTAAATTCTGAAATTAGTGTGTTTTAGTGAATAGACTTACAAAAGCTGCATTTATTCCCAAAATAATACAAAATTTTTAATTTATCAAAATTGGAATACTAATAGAATGATTTATTTTTATGTCTGAGGTTTTTATGTCTGAGGTTGTTATCAATATGAAGCTAAAAACATATATTTATAATAGATCTAATTGTAACTTTAAAAAAAGTATTTGCAAGATGATCATATAGAACTCATTGTTGATCAAACAATCAAAAACGATCTACATTATCAGAAACACATTCAAATTTCTCGATGTGACTGATAATGTTCAAAAAAAAGATCTATTGATGGTTTAGTACAATTTTTACGTAAACACGACTATACCAAAATTACATCAACAGATTTTATTGCGGTTTGCATAATTTTGTGATCCCTATGATTACAGGATTACTTTTTTTAATGATTAAAATGATTGTGATTGCGATCGCGATTGCTAAAGCCGGCCAATTTATCATAAATCTGAGTTTGGCACGAACTTGGATTTACGATGAATTGGCCGGCTTTAGCAATCGCGATCGCAATCACAATCATTTAATCATTAAAAAAAGTAATCCTGTAATCATAGGGGGTCACAAAATTATGCAAACCGCAATAATGTAAATGTTGTGATTTTAGTATTAATGACTTGAAAAATTTGGTTAACAGTATGAAAGCGTTATTTAGCTGTATTAATAATATTGAGACGGATGATGCTGAAATTTGTAGATTCAACAAGTCAGGCTATTTTTGTAGGTCTTTATATTTGATTAAATATTAATTTTTTTTTTATAATTATTTGACGGATATATCGCATATCGATAAAAATTAGCATAAATAAACGTATTGATTGATTAAAAAGTAATCAGTTAAAGGATAAAGTAATTGGTTAGGCACAAATTCTTACATTTTATCTAGCTGTTTTCTTGTTTTAGGTTTTCTGTTCCTGGTTTTGCGTGATAACGTCACGCAACTATCTAGTAAAGTAAAAGTATTTAATTAACCTTACCCGGAGACGTCTAAAGCGGAGGCAAATCATGTGACCAACCGCCAATCAAATTATAGAATTTTAATAATCGTAGGTGAAGCAAAACAAAAAATAAAAACCAAAAACCCGAAAAATACAAAAAACGGCCGTCTAAACCTACCTCGGGTAGGTTAATCAAAAATGTCGGGAAGGCAATTTTGCTTATATTTAACTACCTAAAACCTATCCTGACCCTAATATAGGATGGCCCTAACCCTAAAGTTAATCGATAACATTATTAAGAAATACGCTTTAGACGTCCCCCCTTACCCGGGTATATCGGATAGGATTTTATACCCGGATATATCTGTTGATCACTATACCAGATACGTATAAACGTTTTCTATTATTCTATTTTCATGAACTCCGTATAATCGACAAAATCTAGACAAGCCGAATAATCTCCATGATTTAAGATTATGAATTCCGTGAATATGCAACATTTATGGACAATACACGGAATATAAAACACGGATCGACTTTTTTTTATAGGGTCGTGATCAGTGTTATAAATTCAAAAAATTTTTATTGGCGCAAACACAAAAGAAATATGTTCAAAAAAAAAGAATTTATACGCGCATTATATATATGAAGAGCGCTGATATATGCGCAAATTTAAATCTATGTACAGTACGCTGCGCCTACTGCGCGGATCCAATTTACATCACTGGTCGTGATAACCTATCAATACGAAAGATCTTATACATGAAAAGATCATTGTTTTGAGTTCGAAACCGCCTAACTATATCTGCTGTCATTTAGAGTTCGTAATTAAAAATCACCTCAAACATATCTATGGTTTTAACATTATAATTAGGAATCGGGATAGGATAAAGTTATATCATATGGGCTAATATGCGTAATAATGCAAGAGAGAGAACCCCGTACCCTAAAAATTTTTTATAGTGGGTCAGGTCGTTTAACAATACAATTGTCTGAATGACTGAGGCGAAAGGTTTATTTTGACCATTTACTCATAACAATAACAAAGTCAAACAGCATATCTTAGTAAGCCCAGGCTAATAATTAGACGATAATCTAATGGGTTTTAAGATAATCTAATGGGTTAAATGCATATTCGTTATATCCTTCTTGCATAATTGTGCAGAAAAGACCCTCGAAAAATCAAATCAATCACTTTAACAATGCGTTAGACCAATCAAAAACAATTAAACAAGGGGTTTAAACTGAATTTAGTGATTCTATTCAGGGCCCAATAATCGGAAATTAGCCCATATGTCCTACTTTTTTTTCATTGATGTATCTAGGGTTGTGTTACATAAATTACAATTTTACATTTACAAAATTTCGAAAATTTCGGCAGCATTATTGCATTATTTGATTTGAATGTACGATCCGAATTGTAACTTCTAAAATTTGACCTCAGAAACTAAATGTCATGTATTCAAAATTACAAATACATGAAATTTCAATTTACCGAATCTTATACCAAATTACTGAAATTTAACAACCCTAGATGTATCTAGGTAATTTTTTTTTTTTTGTGGGTTTAGTAGTTCTGAAAATTTTGAACTGTCATACCTGTTACTTTTTATTTAAGACTAGAAATAATCATATATAACAATATGCTTTTTTAAATTAAATATAGGATAAGTCCAATATAGCAACCTATATCAATATAAATCCTGCTAGCTCTAAGTAGCCAACTGTAGATGATAAAATTTTTAGACTTTTTTTTTATATTTTAAAAAGTTATTTTCTGATACATATAGACATACAATAATTTACAGATTTTTCTGTAAAAACTTACTAACCTTTTTTTTAACGAAATTTACAAATAATTGGAATACAACACTAAGCATCAATAAAATGCCAAACACGGTGATTAAAGATCCAAAAAGCGTACTTGATATAGGTTGTTGAAGAAAAGTTATAAACGAAAGATATTGTTGTGGTTCTTGAATACTTGGCCATATTGAAGTATCGAAAGCATTTAAAGCCGATTCGGGTAAAGGTTCGATATAATAATTTGGGTTTATTCGGGAAGGTGTAGATTTGCGGTTTGGTCTTTGTATTTTTTGGAGTTCTGGTACAATAGGTGCGTCATGTTTGATTTCTGATAATAAAGGAATCAAAGCCTGTGAACTTTCAGCATCATTATTCTGAATATCACCGTCTGATCCGGTTTCTGGCTCATTATGCGCTTCAGACAATAGCAATTCGTTCGATGGTGCATCAACTTTTTGATCTGTATCGGAAGTTGTAGATATAGTAACCTCAATAGTAGTGGACTGTGGCTCCTGATTTTCAGAATTTAGCGTTGAAATTTGAAGTGCCAATGCCCTAATCATTTCATTAAATGTAGAAATATCGCTTGCACCCAGAATTCTTGCACATACCGATGTAAGAAGCATCGAACGAAGTGGAGATAATCTATGTTGGTTTTTCAATAGTTTTTCACATGAAATTGGTGATAAGGGACCGTTTAATTGTAACGCTTCACATTGAGCATATGTTCGTGACCATGGAAATATAGGTTCAGATCGTGATGATGTGTGATGTTGATGGGAAGAGTGAGGATACCGGTAAGGTTCGCGTATTATATGACGATGTGGCTGCGGTATTGCTTGAATTGGCGACTTATCAGATAATAGATGATTATGTACCGGATAATGTCGTGTTTTTTCGTTTGTTAAATAATGATGATGATGATTTGGTTGTATTTGTGCTGCTTGAATTATATTTTTATTCATTAAATGGTTACGATGTGGTTGTACGTTATCCACAAGGAAAGGAACATGTGGTCCTGATACAAGTGTATTCAAAGAACTGTCCACAGAAACAAGTAGAACATAAAGAGATAAGAGGGCAATGCGAAAAGATGAATATGACATTTTTTATGTCGTTTTTAAAAAGTTTTCAATGAATGCGTATTTTATTTATACTTTATTGCTGCCTTTTGTATTTTAAATAGTGTGAGAAGTTTAATCTATTATGCACATTAATAATCAAATTATCATCATTAAAAAGTACGTAAACAGTTCGATCAAAATCATCAATCATAAGCGATTTATTCAATGTAAGGATTAAAAATTATTACTTTTAAGAGATTATTTTTGCAGATGCAGATGTGATTTAGGAAGATGCTTAATATCAAATATGTAATCTGATTTAAAAACATACCTTGTGTCATCTGACAATTAATTATTCACTACATAATTAATGTTAAAAGTATTCTCTTCTAATAAATTACACAAATACAATAATGATCTCTTAACTCTATTATACATTATCTTAAAAAAACAATTCTACTGAAAATCTAAAAATCAGATATAAATTAAATTCTGCGTTTATAGAAAC